ACTCCTATTTTTCTTACATAATTAAATATTTTTTTAAATGTATAGTGACATATAACTTGTTTACGTTTATATGTGTAATACGATAATATGCGCGGGATGTGAACATTACCTTTGTAGTTTTCTTATGATAATGTAGAGGTCTACTGTGTTTGACATTCGTTTCACATTGTATATAAAATGTTCATGTGTATATGCTTTCCACTTTGTGTAGATATCTTATAAAATGTGCGTACAACAAATTTTTATACTTTTTATGTGACGATTTACTTACATATGTATATACATATTCTTCTTAGTAATTAAATAAAAATTGAAGGAAATTATTCCAAAGGTATTTTAAAAGAATAATTTAAACTTAACCTCCAAATGAAATGAGAGATAATAAATATACTACAGAATTTTAAGAATTTAATGTGTTTTTAAAGTATAAAGTAGTAGTAAAAATATTTTGAGAATTTGTAGAAATTTGAGAAAATATTTTCAAAATGAGAAGTCGTAGTAACTCTGGTGTTCGTTTGGATTATTACCAACGAATTGTACACAAAATTATTATGAAACATCAAAATGCAGTCACAGGACTTTTTCCTGCTAGTCCTGAAAATGACCATGCATGGGTTCGTGATAATGTGTATTGTATCCTTGCTGTTTGGGGTCTTTCAATGGCATATAAAAAAATTGCTGATGCAGATGAAGATAGAGCTAAAACATATGAACTTGAACAAAGTTGTGTGAAATTAATGAGAGGTTTATTAATGGCAATGATGCAACAAAAAGAAAAGGTTGAACGATTTAAATCTAGTCAAAATCCAAATGATGCTTTACATGCTAAATACAGTTCTGTTACTGAACAAACTGTTGTGGGTGATACAGAATGGGGTCATCTTCAAATAGATGCCATTTCCCTTTATTTATTAATTCTAGCACAAATGACAGCATCTGGATTACAAATTGTTTTTAATCTGGAGGTTGCGTTTATTCAAAATTTAGTATTTTACATTGAGTCAGCTTATTGTACTCCTGATTATGGAATTTGGGAACGAGGTGATAAAACAAATCATGGATTACCAGAATTAAATGCTAGTAGCATTGGAATGGCAAAAGCTGCAATGGAAGCAATGAATGAACTGGACTTATTTGGTGCAAGAGGTGGACCTACTTCAGTAATTCATGTATTAGCAGATGAAGCACAAAAATGTCAAGCTGTTTTACAGTCCATGTTACCACGTGAATCTAATTCAAAAGAATTAGATAGCGGATTATTATCTGTTATAAGTTTTCCAGCATTTGCTATAGATGAACCTAATTTAATTCAATTAACAAGGGATGCTATAACTAAAAAGTTGCAAGGTCGTTATGGTTGTAAAAGATTTTTAAGAGATGGATATAAAACACCAAAAGAGGATCCTAATAGGTGAAACAAATTGAAGAAGTAGTATTTCCAAATATAATATGCACATTTACTAATAAATATATTATAATTATAATAGGCTTTATTATGAACCATGGGAGTTACGCATGTTTGAAAATATAGAATGCGAATGGCCTTTGTTCTTTTGTTATTTAATTGTGGATTATTGTTTCCAAGGCAATAATGAAGCTGTAACAGAATACACAGAACAATTGGAAGAAATAATGATTAAAGCAGAAGATGGAATAAAATTAGTTCCTGAATTATATTCTGTAGAAGCTGTGAATGTATCAGCAGAGTATGCTGAACCAGGTAGTCAAAAACGAATTGCATTAGGTCGATGTCCATTTATGTGGGCTCAATCTCTTTATATATTAGGAAAATTATTACAAGAAGTAAGTAGAGAAAAATTGAAAAAATACATACATAAAATTCAAATTTTTCTTTAATTATATTTTCAATAATAGGGTTTTCTTGCTGTGGGAGAATTGGATCCACTGAATAGACGTTTATGTAGTGAAAAAAAACCAGATGTTGTAGTACAAGTTGTTATTTTGGCAGAAGATGCTGAAATTAGAGAAAAAATAGCTCAACACGATATTCATGTTCAAACTATTGCAGAAGTTGCTCCAATTGAAGTGCAACCTGCCAAAGTACTTAGTCATTTGTATACATATTTAGGTATTTTTGAACTACTAAATTCTTCAAATAATTATTATAACTTATAATTACATATTTTTTAATCCTTTTTTTAAATTTAAAATATTTTTAGGTCGAAATCAAAAATTAGGGTTGTCTGGACGTAAATCAAGAGATGTAGGAATTTTAAGCACCAGTAAATTATATTCCTTGAACGATAAAATATTTGCATTCACACCACAGGTAAGTATTCCGAAACCCGTCGCACTGTCTGCTCTCATACTTTTATTTCTTTCTTATGTTGCCTTGTTCTTGCATCAAACATTAGTTGACAGACATGACCCGCTTCTACATCGCATCGGACTATGAGCTCATGATTGACATATTCAAAGGCGAAATTAATTTCTTGAAGTCTAGCTGGCAGAACATGTTAGGCCGGCCTCTTGTGGTCATGCCCCTCAAGAACATTCATCTAGGTACAGTAATTTAATATTTAAAAACCATAGTTTTTATCTGTGTTACTTGTTTTCTAATGCATGGGAAACTATAATAATATAATTTCAAAGCAATGAAACTTTAAAGTAATAGAGATAAAATATGGTTTTTAAGTAAAGTAGTTTTTATTCTGAGTTTCATGTTTTACTGAAATTATGTAAATACATTATCCAAAGAACATCTAACATGTCTGCCTGCTTGCGTGCATTTGTTTTTGTTATAAATTTTACTTAGTGGCTATGGAAGGTCTTAATGCAATTTGATTAGCTAAAATAAGTGTTTCACTAGTTATTAATGTTTATCATATGATATTTAAACGTTAATATCATAATATTCATCATGAGCAAAATCGATCAATATTGAAAATATTTAATAAAAATAAAATAATAAAAATAAAGAAATTGAGGAAAGCCCGTTTTTTCTTCAATATGAAATCTAACAGTCTAAGATGACAGCTTATGTGTGCGGTGATGTGCGCGTTTGTTGCATGTCTTAGAACTTTGATGCGGAGGAGTACTACACGACAAACGATGCAGCCCTCCTTGTCAACACTTTTACAACCAACTTGGCCTTCCTCACCATCAACTGGAAGCAAATGCTCGGCAGGCCAACTATAACACTTGTTGCTACTCATAATCATCTAGGTATGCCACAGGCAGCTTTAGATCATTCAGGACAAATATTTAATTAAAACATTTACTAAAAATAGGATAAAATTTGTTTAAAAGTAATACATTATAAAATCAATGTAGAAAACATTATTTCCTTTATTCCTAAAAAAAATCAAAATCAATCCTTTCATATTTTATAACATAATTATTATTTTAGATCAAGGGAAAATACCATTAGCAATGATAACTACTATGAAGAAGTTAAAAAGTGGTTATATTAATGGTACACGAGTTTCGTTGGGAAATTTGAACGATTTCTTGAGTACTTCGTGCATTACAAATTTGAGCTTCTTAGGAAGTTCTGAGGATGGTAGACCAGACAAATTAAATTCTCAGGTAATGAAGATATGTATTACAAACTAACATGTATAATGCAATATTTTATATATTTTATGTACATTTAATAAGGTCCAACAATATTTGGAAGAACATCTAATGCGCCCATTTCCACATCGTACAGGTCTTCTCAATAGACCGGTAATTAGAACTGATAAAAATTTAAGGCGGAGAATGTCCGTAAAAGGTGCTATAAAGAAAACAAGGTCAATCGCTATAGAACGTAAGTTGTATTTATTTTATACATTAATCTTACAAACTATTTAAATTCTTAACACTCTGATTGCATGCTACTTAAAGAGGATCCTTAAACGTTTGTACAATATATTCCTATATATCGTGATTCCTACCATCCTACAAGAATGTAAGTATACTAATTCTTGGTAACCAGTTTCTAAATTATATTAATAACAGAAACAAATTTAACATGTCTGTTTTTTAATATATTATGTAACGTTAAACGAATTTAATGACTAAATAATTCAATGATTAGCAAAATAATTTTTAAAAGGAATGAAAAAATACTAATATAATTTGTAGCTGAAATTCTTGGGATGGCAGGAGAAGAGAGAAGACCTTCTGCTGTTTTAAGTACAAATCCATTTATTGAAGTGACAGATACAACGTTAACTCCCAGTGCTACACAGTTAACCCCTGCAGACCAAACGCCCTCTCCTACAGATGATTTATTATCTTGGACAAATTCTCCAAAGCTACATAGGCACAGAGGTATAGGTGAAACTCAATATGCAGATACAGAAGTTGAGGAATTATTATCTATGCTTCGAGAAACTGAAAGTTTGGAAGAACAAGGAGACATTTTACAATATCTCGTAAGTTACAAAAATCGTACCACAATAAACCCTACATATCAAGCATTTTTTTAAATATATAGGATTAAAGTTGTCTTTATCTGTTTGAAAAAGGTTTCTTTATTTCTTTAAGAGTAATTCTTAATTTAAATACATAGGTTGATTCTCAAGGTCTGTATTTTAATACTGGCATGGTTGAAGAAAGCTATCCAGTCCTGATAAAAGATTTATTGAAAGATCTTTACGAAAAAGCTTGTCAGCAAAAATTGTGGGGAATTGTACGTCACACGGCTGGCATGTTAGGGAAACGGGTCGAAGATTTAGCTAAAGCAGTCACCGATTTATTAGTTCGTCAAAAGCAAGTTACAGTTGGAATGCCACCAACTAACGAGCACACAATTGTCGCACCATTGCCAGAAAACGAATTACGAGCCTTAATTCATCAAGCGTACGGTGATGATGAATCTACTGCTATGTTAACACAAGAATTACTTGTGTATTTGGCAATGTTTATTAGAACGGAGCCGCAATTGTTTCATGAAATGCTTAGGCTTAGAGTAGGTTTAATAATTCAAGTAATGGCTACTGAATTATCAAGAACATTAATATGTACCGGAGAAGAAGCATCCGAACATTTGCTTAATTTATCACCATTTGAAATGAAGAATCTTTTACATCATATTATGAGTGGAAAAGAATTCGCTATTAGCAGCGGTACGTTTACAATTTTCATTATAAATTGATTAATTTAATGGAATTTGATAAAATTGGAATTTTATTTTCATTTAAAAATGATTTATTCTTGTTTTCAGTTGGTCGAGGAAATTTTTCTGTTATCAGTTGCAAATCTAGTAGAGTCAGTAAGGTAATGTACTTATTGATATGACGACTTTTGTTTTTCGAAAATTATTACAATTTTAGTGCTTTACTTCAGAAATCACAAATTGGAGGCTTCTTAAGTCCCGATCAAACTGATGCTAATGAAATAGAACCAGATCGACAAGGTCAATGGTTACGACGACGAAGATTAGATGGTGCATTAAACAGAGTTCCGCGAGATTTTTATCCTCGAGTATGGCAAGTTCTGGAACGGGTAAGTATACAATTTTTCGCATATAAAATTTTCAATTTATGAAATTAATTTTTCCATTTTTACAGTGTCAAGGTTTAGCAATTGAGGGTAGAGTTCTACCTCAAAATCTTACGCAGGAAATGACACCTGGGGAATTAAAGTTTGCATTAGCAGTAGAAACTGTTTTAAATACTATACCGCAACCAGAATATCGTCAATTAGTAGTTGAAGCTTTAATGGTATTAACTTTAGTAACTGAGTATAACGTGGTAACTTCTCTAGGTGGACTTATTGCAGTGGAACAATTAGTTCACAAAGCTAATGCCATTTTTTTAGACGATCAGGTATAGCTTTATTTGTACAATGCAATATATGTAAAATAAAATATATTTACTAAATATATTTTCAATAATTAGATGAAGATTGATGGCGATGCTACGTTATGTTGTGCCAAACCAAAAGAACAACGCGAAACAACTGCAATGGGAAATCTTCTTTGTGGTGGAGCAGCATATGTTTGTCAACATTTTTATGATAGTGCTCCAAGTGGTAGTTTTGGAACCATGACATATATTACAAGAGCCATATCTTCACTATTAAATTGTTTGCCAAAGGATGGTGATTTGGAGTGTACAATATCATAGTTATTTATTTCTTAGAAATAACAAATTTTTAGTTAATATCTAGCAAACATATTTGTGTTAATAATTTTTTAGAATTTATTGTAAAATATAAACAAAGAACTTAAAAAAAATGCTTAAAGTTTCACATTAACGATCAAATATTACTTGACAAATATTTTGAACACTTTAATTTTCTATATTAAAATTACCAGTGTTCATAATGTATCAAATATATAAAGAAAGATTAAGCTATCTGATATATCATTTATTTCTCTCATTTTCTTTATTTATAATATACAACAATATAATACATGTACTAATCAGATTTTGATTTGGTAAAAGGATTCCATTTTATTTTCCATGTTGAAGACCTGCAAAAATAATTTTCCATTATTTCTTGTTGAAAATATAAAAGTTTAAATAAAACATAATTTATTGTATAAGTACTTTGCTACTGTTTCTTCTGCTTCTTCAATTTCTTTTTCCTTAAGCATTTCAATTAACTCAGACCTGTATTGAAGTTTTAAAGGCTTCACTTCTTGCTTAGCTTGCTTTTGCTGTATCCATTTTTTACAAGCTTCTTTATATGGTAAACCATACCATT